CTTTCTCCCCCTCCCGGAGTCTCTGTTGGGTCTCTCTATACCAGCCCCCCCCCCCAGGGAAACCCAGACCACGGGGCAGCCAAGGACAGTCTCTCTGGCCAGAGGCCCAGAAGGCAGGCAGGTGACCCCCGGGAGGACCCCCAGAAGAGCTGGGCCACCGCTTGAAAGGACCTTGTGGAAGCAGCCTTCACGCCCGCCTGGGTCTCTCCCACCTTATCACTCAACCCGCAGCCCTGGCCACATCTGACGGGGCCAAAGTCTGCAGGGGCCAGACTTCGCTGCCTCCATCTTCCTCTGCAGAGCAAACGCCCAGATTTGCTTCTCTCCACTTCTGCACGTATCCCACTTCCTCTTTGCGGGCTTGGAACCTGGAGGCTCACTTGCCGTGTTGCAGTTTGATAATAACTTTGCCCCCGTGCCCCCCCCCCCAAACCTGGCTGCCTGGGTTGCTGGGGCAGCAGCCCTAGAGACCAGAGGGAGGTCAAAAGAACAAGCCAGAGAGTGTCCAGGGCCAGCCCACCATGCATTTCCAAGCTGCTACAGGGAACTCTGTGATGAGGTGGAAGACCCCCCGCCCCCCAGATGACAGTGGGGCTCTGCAGCCTGTGTCTGGGATGTGTGGATGGGAGCCGGGAGGGGACAGCACCCCAGCACCGTGTGGACACAAGGCAGCCCTGCCAAACGGGTCTTCGAGCTGAGCAAGGAGACCAGGCTGGCTCCGTTCGGCTGGTGTGCAGTGCTGCCTTCTTGGCTGAGCGCCGGACGTGTCCCACCTGTGCTCTTGTGCCTCCCTGACCACGTGCAGAGGGGACACGGGGGATCTCCCCAGGCGGGACCCTGCCTGCACGACATTTGGTGAGCCCTCTGCCTCCTGCCCCCCCCCATTCCGGCGCCCTCCACCTCCTGCCCCCCCCCACTCCGGCCGCACACAACACACGGCAGGGCTCAAAGGGGCAGTCAGTTCGGATCATGATTGCTTTTACTCAGTACAAAGCAAAGAGGCAGCTGCTTTCTCTGCAGCCCCCCTGCGCCCCCCTTCCTCAATAAATAGCGTCCACCCCCCCCATCCTGGGAGGAGCCAGTCCGTGTTCTAGGACTGGTGGGAGGAGAAAAGGGGGGCCCTGCCTCGCCTCTGCCCTCGGCTGTGTGTGTGTGTGTGTGTGTGTGTGTGTGTGTGTGTGTGTGTGTGTGTGTGCTGGCCTGGGGGAGCCGGGCCCCTCAGGTCCCGAGGAAAAACTTCCCGTAGAATTTGTTCAGCTGCTCCAGGAAGATGAAGGTCAGGACGGTGTGGGGGCCGAGGCGGGCATAGTAGGGCGTGAAGCCCTTCCAGAGGCTGAAGAAGCCTTCATAGCGGACAACCTTCGCCAGCACGTCCTGAAAGGGGTGGGAGAGAGAGAGAGAAGCCCCCCCAAGGGCGTGAGCAGAACAAGGAGGCAGCCAACCTCTTGAAACCCCCCCCAACATGGGCAGGGACCACGCAGCTGCCCCACACAGCACCTGGGCATCTTTGGCAGAGGCAGCCCACCAACTGAGCTGGGGGGGGGAGGACAGAGTGCAGCAGCCAGTCAGGATCACCCACAGCAGTTTTGTGCACACCACCAAACACCCGCAGTGCCCCCCCCCGGACTTTGCTTCTCCCCAAGGCCTGCTAAAGTCCAACAACCCGCCATCCTGCCTTGGCTGGCTTGCACAACCAGACCCCTCCCCCTCAAAGCAATGCACGCAGGTAAGGCACACACAGCGCCTGCGTCACCCTCACCCAAGGCAGCCACCCGCTCCCGAGAGCCTTGGCTACACTGACCCCCCCCCCTGCTTATCTGGATCTCGCCTAAATTCAGTCCCTGCAGGTCCTGTCCTGCTCCCTCACTCGGAGACCGGCCTGGGAAAGGCCTGGCGGAAGCACTGGAGCAGCCCCAAGGCCTCTGGGGCCAAACCAGCCAGCCACAAATGTCCCCCAGCGAACATCCAGGACAACGGCCTTAACGGGAGGGCAATTAAAGGGGGACCCCCAAGGGTCAGCCCTGGGATTAATTCCTCCATATTTTCATTCACAACAAGACGGAGGCAACACTTATCAAATTTGCAAAGGGTTGAGATAGTCAATATCCTACAGAAGAAAGAGGCTAAAGCTAACACCATTTTTTTTTGTTCAAAGGAAAAAAAAAAAGGAAATCCAATGTATGGGGTGGGGAGGACTGCGCTTGGTGCCAGCACCTCCAAAATAATCTTGAACAGCCTAGCAGTTTTAGGCTGTCTCGACAGAAACTGAATTTCCAAATTGTAGATTCTTCCAGTGGATTTAGAACATAGAAAAATGCGACGGAAACGGACCTTCGAGGTCTCCTGTGGTAGGAGATCCTCTATCATCCCAGACTTTTGGTGGACTTGATGGGATGGAGATACGTGATCAGAGCAGCGGAATAAGAGAACAGAGTAACAGAATTGGGCCAGGCTCCGGCCTAAGCATCCCATGGAGCGGGGGGGGAGGGGGATTTCAGAGGTGGGCAAGCACCATCAGAGGCCAGAGGGCCTTCCCTCATGGAGGGTGAGGGGTCCTGAGTTCAGAGCAGATGGGTGCCAGGAGCCTCCCCCCCCCCGGAAGCCCCTCTCAGAGCTGACCCAGAGGGGCACCGCGAAAGGTGCCTTGCAGAGACCCACCTGAGGGTGGTTGGGGGGGGGGCTTCTGCGGGCACCATTTCTGGGGCAGGAGGACCTGACTGGATCCAAACTTTTGAGGAGTGTTGGGGGGGAAGGAGGGAGCAATTCCCTCGTGGGGCCCCCCAAAGGTGTGTCCTTCCTGATCCCCTCCATCATGCGAGTCTCAGAGGCCCAGGGACTCTGTTGCTGCTGCTGTTTCCTGACTCTTGAAGAGCCCCATTGTGACAGACCAGTTTGCAGCTGCTTCTATCCCAGACACAAACCAGCTCAGGCGCCACCCGGGACAGGCTGACCGCACTCACCAGTCCGTTCCGGTACTCGGGCTTCCCGTCAATCATCCGCATGTTCTGGATCCTGCAGAAGGGCAGAAGAGGCAACGGACGGGTTCAGCCGGAGTGGGGGCCAGCTGCAGACCCCGTGCCCGGTGGCCAAACCAGAGCCAGCCCTGCCCCAGGCGCAGTCAGGAAAGACGACCAAAGAGGCACCTAGCGCAATTTCCCAACCTTGCCAGCATGCGCTGCTCTAGCAGATTTCCCGGGGGTCGTCACCCCCTCCCCACTTCACAATACACTCCCCTGGGCGCCCCAGGAGCCCCACCTGGTCTTGGCGATGTCCACGGGCATGGAGGCTGCCGTCGTCACCAACCCGCGAATCATGCTGGCACAGAAGTGGCACAGGATGTTGTCTTGGAAGTACCCTGGAGGTGAGGCAAAGGCAGGGGGGGGCTGTTGCTGCTGCACCCACCCCAGGCAGCGCCGACTGTCTGGACCCAGCCTCTGCCCAGGAGCTTCGCCTGAGGGAGGGGCTACTCAGCCACAGCAGGGGGGGGGAGACTGTGAAGCCCCCAAAGCGCCTTCCCCAAAGCTGCTGCTGCTACTGCAGGACCACTGCGCGCACACACTCCATCAGCCCCTCTCCAGTCTTACGACCAGGTGAAGACGGCGGAGGCACACGGACCCCTCTCTAAAGGGCCGACCCTCCAAAGGCTCCCGGTTCTTAGCCTTCACCCACCTACCCGAGTCCAGGAGGAACTGCTTCGACTGGGAGTAGGAGGCTAGCTGGGCTGCGTTGACAACCACCGCCCGGGCCATGGTGGGCACACATCCCTAGGCAGAGGAGGAAGGGGGCGAGAGGGCAGGGCTAGGCTCCCAGAGGGAGGGGGCAGGGGGTCAAGGGTGGTCCGGGAGGGGGGTGGGCAGGGGCTGCTGCTGGAGGCAGCGAGGGGAGGAACCGGGCAGGGACCCCAAGAGGCCACCGGGGCTCACTCCCCCTCCCAGGCGATCCGAGCCCCCCCCCCCGCCATCCCGGGGCCGCCTACCCTCCAGAGCGTGGGGACGCCTTCCTCGCGGGTGATGCGCAGCAGCGCGTTGAAGACGTTGCTGTAGCCGCGGCGCTGCTCGGGGGGCAGCCTGCAAGGGAGGAGGGAAAGAGCGGAGCAGCTGCCGCCGCCGTCGCTCCCCCCCGACCCGCGCCCCCGCCCAGCCGGGCCCCCGGACGCACCTGCCGTCGGCGGTCATGCGGATGAGGGCCACCTCGGCGGGGGTGCCCACGAAGGCCCCGGTGGCGCCGGCCGTCATGCCGATGAGCGCCTTGAGCAGGAAGCTGGGGGGCGTCCCGTCGGCGCCCGTCAGCCGCTCGAAGAGGACGGTGTAGATGCCCAGCCGGGTGGTCGTGTAGGTGGCCTGGCGGAGCAGCCCGGCCGAGAGCCTGCAGGGGGCGGGGGGGGGGCAGAGCAGCCGTGAGCCCCCGCCCGCGCCCCCTGCCCGTCCCCCCCGTCCGTCCCGCCCGCTACCCACCCGGTGTAGATGCCGCGCAGCCCCTCCTGGCGGAGGATGCTGCCCACCGCGTGCAGGCTGGTCCGGTACTCGCGCGTCTTGGCGCCCTCGCCGCTCAACTGCATCCGGTTCTTCACCAGGTCCAGCGGCTGCACGAACACCGTGGCCGCCATCCTGCGGGAAGGGAGGGAGGGAGAGGTGGGGGTCGCACCGGGCGGGGGGAGGGGCTCCTCCCGTGGCCGCCGCTGCCCCGCCCCTCCCGGCGCTCACCCGGCCAGGCCGCCGAAGAGGAACTTGACCGACTTAGGGGAGGTCTTGGGCTTCCCCGGCCCGGACGCCGCCATGCCGGCTCCGTTGGCGCCGGGATCAAGGTGACTCGGGTCGGGGTGCGCGCGCAGCGGAGAGGTCGGGAGGGGAACGGAGGAGCACGGAGGATTATGGGCGTCGTAGTCCGGGGGGCCGCGACGGCTGCGGTGGAGTCACGTGGGGAGAGCAGGGGCGGGGCCGAGTGCGGAAGGACGGAGCGGGACTACAACGCTCGGCATCCTCCGCGCCCGGGAGCCGCCCCTCCCGCTGCGCAGGCGCGGAAGGACGGTGTCTACCCCGCCCTCGCCCGTCTCTCGCGAGAGCGTCGCATCTTCACGGAGCGCGCAGGGCTTGTAAACAGAGCGTCGGGCGGCGGGCGCCCCTCCGGGAAGGTGAGACGGGGGGGACGGACGGGGGGGGGCTGCCGTGGCTCCTCCGTCGGCGGGCGAGGGGGCGGCGGCGGGGGTCTCTGAGTCTTCCCGGGCGCCGCCGAGGCGGCGGAGGGGGAGGCGGGGGCGAGCCGGGCAAGGGTCGCCTCCCCCCCCGAGCCCCCCTGGGGTGGGGTCCGGGGGAGGGGCCGCCCCTGGGGGAGGGGCCGGGGAGGAAGACCCGACCGGAGGCGCCGGGTGGGGGCAGCCAGGCAAAGCTCGCCCCCCTCCAAGCAGGGGCCGCCGCGGGGGCCCCCCGCCCGGAGAGCGCAGCCGTCGCGGGGCGGGGGTCGCGGATCCCGTGGGGGGCGGCTGCGGCACAGCGGAGGCAGGAACGGCCAGAGCTCCCCCAGGGGCCCCTCCCCCCCTAACCGGTTCTTCTGGCTTAGGCGGCGCCGCCGACTCCCCGGGCGGAGCGGGGCGGCCCTTGCGCCGCCCAGCGGAGCCCCAACTGCTCGAAAACGGGCGCCGCCAGGTGGATCCGCGGCTCTGTAAGGCCCGGGCCGGAGAAAGGGGGACGGCAGGACCCCCGTTGCCCACCCCGGAGGACGCTCCCTGGGCTTCGCCGCGCTCAGCGTTGGGCTTTGGGAACTTGCCCCGGTGGGGATCCCCGTAGGGCAACCGGGTCCTCCCCACAGAGGGGGGTGGGAAGACATAGCCTGGATGTCCCCAGCCTCGTTGCAAGGGTGGAGGGGGAGGAATCGGGACGGTCAGTTCAAAGCAAGCAGAGGGGACCCTCGGCCCAAAAGACCCCCCCACACCGCAAAAGAAGGAAAAGCCGAGAGCGGAGACCCTTCGGCTGACGGGGGGGGGGGGGAGGTCATAGGAGAGGGAAAGGGGGCGTCCCGGAGGGGGAGGCTGCAGAGGCAGGAGCAGGCAGTGCCGGCTGACTCAGCAGAGCAGCCCGTCGAACCCCAATGGACACCTGGTGTCAAGTGCTTTGCTGAGACTTGAGGGGCACAGTCCAGGGTAGTTCAGATGATCTCGGAGGGACCCTGGAGCATAACCTGGGCAAGTAAAGTGTCCAGGGAAGGTGCAGGTGAGCTGCTAAGAGACAATCTGCCTCCAGCCTCTTCAGGAAGGCCAGAGAAGGGCTGGGGGGAGGTGATTATGCAAGGAGAGCCATTCTCAGCTGCTCCCCCCCATGCGCCTGGATGGCCAGGTTGAGCGCAGGCCACCCCCAACCTGCCTCCTGGCCCAGCCTTTGGGGCTGAGCCGAACAGAGAGGTGAAGGAAACCTCGCTGGGATGGGCCTGGGCATCCTCAGCGCCCAGAATGCGTGCCCCAACTCAGCGACAATTGGCGCTTCCTTCCATGAGCTGTTTAATCAAGTTGCGGCTCCTTTGGATTGGGGAGTCTGTGTGTGAATCCAGCCAGTTGTGGCTTAATACTCCGTACTGCAGCAGGACCATGGTTTAGCACAGGGGTAGGCAACCTTGGCCCTTTTGTGACTCGTGGACTTCAATTCCCAGAATTCCTGAGCCAGCCATGGTGAGGGGAAAGGGAGAGGTTTCCAAGCTGAATTATGCTGGCTCAGGAATTCTGGGAGTTGGAGTCCATGAGTCATAAAAGAGCCAAGGTTGCCTATCTCTGGTTTAGCATGATGAGTGGAAGGCCTCCTTTGGCCTGCCTGCCCTGCAAAGCCCCTGGCAGCCGGCCTGCCAGCGTCTAAGGGAGTTTGTCAGGTGTCCAGGATTCTAGTGCCCGGCCCACCAGGTGCCCCTCAAAGGAGGAGGCCAGGCGGCAAGAAGAGGCGGTTCCAGCCCTGAATTCTAGAAGGGGCACTGCTGATCCTAACTCTAGGGGGGGGGAACATGCAGACTACTGAGAAGCAGGGAGCAACTTGGGGGGGCACCACATGGGCCCCGGCCTTTTGTACAGGGGTGTTTTGGCTGCCTGCCGAAGGGGCAGGTGCAGCTCTGGCCAGGCAGGGCCTGCTTCAGGGCTGACCCTTTACCTGGGCCCACTGGACCCCGAGGAAGCTCGGCTAATCGGAGGGGCCTTCAGAATCAGCCGAAGGAACGGAGTTTTTGATGCAGCACAGAGTTAGTCCTCAGAGACTTTGCTGGGCAGAAAAGGTGCAGGGGGGCTCCAGGAGGGAGGGGGCTGCTGAGCCCACCATAGATGAGCAGCTGAGGCCAAAGGCCACATGAGCTGGTCCTATCTGTGGTGGAGCCCTCCCCACCTCCCTCCCTCCATCCACCAGGTTGGCACTGGCAGGTCTTTTTTGCCCGTCAGCAGTTCTTTGCCACCTTCTCTGGAGGTCCTGTGTGCTCCCGGCATGCCAGAGCTGAATGCCAGTCTCTGTTGTGTGCGTGGGCAACAGGCAGCAGCGTTGGGCAGGGGGGCTGGGCCTAACGGTCCATGAGCTTCTTGGAGGCGGCGCACGAACAAGAGCTGCCTAGCAGGATAAGCAGTGCTGCTAGTCCCTGGTGGGGCTGAGAACCCAGATGGTCTGGCGGGCACCTCCCTGCCTGAGAGTCAGCGGGGGGGGGGGGGAAAGGCAGTCTCTTTCCTTGCCTGATGGGCTCTGCCACCTTCTCCTAGGAGCTCCGGCTGCCCCCCCCCCCCAGCTTCAGGATGCAACCCAGGCACCTCCTGCCAGCCGCTGCGGCCCTCGTCCTGCCAGTCTGCCTGTTGTGGGAGCTGCCGGCCGTAAAGGGCTACATCCACGCGGTGAGCTCCCCCCCCCCACCCAGCACAGCCCGGGGTCCCTTTCCCTGCCACCTCCTGAAATGCTGGCTGTCACCACTAGAGGGCGCTTGGACCATGGCAGGGCCCTTGCAGAGCTGGCTGGGCAAGATGGCCTGGGGGGGGGCCGGTTTGCCACCTGGGGGGGGGGGCTGCTTCCCTGCTGCAAAAGGGCTGGTTGGTGCCCAAAGCTGCAGCTGCCTGAACAGCTGGCACCCTGCAAACTGCAGAGAAGAGAGATTGCAGCAACGGGGGGGGGGGGTCCCAAGGTCGACTGCCTGGGGCCCCTGAGTGGGTAGAAAGGGCCCACGGCTGCAGCCAGCACACCTGAAGGGTGACTGGACGTGCTCCCTCCCTGCTCTACTCTGCCCCTGGCCGCCCCTTTCACTCTCTCCTCCCTCCTCAGGTGTCGGACCATAACACCAGCATGGAGTTCTCTGACCTGCCGGCCATTTTCGGCTATCCACTGTCCCGGCAAGGACTCGTGGTGGGTATCTGGGCGGGTGGAGAGTCGTCCCCGCCCTCCCTCCGTCCCTGCCCCCCTCCCTGAGCTGCCTGCCTCCCCCACAGGGTCTCCTAGTGGAAGCCAGGCCGGCCAACGCCTGCCTGCCCCTCGAGGCGCCTCCGTCCAACAGCAGCGTCTTCATCGCCCTCGTCCGGCGGTACAACTGCAGCTTTGATGTCAAGGTGAGGAGCGGGGGGGGGGCAAGACCCTTCGCCAGGGTTTCTACACTGCACTGGCCGAGCCAAAGACCCAGGCTAGGGAGATGTGGGCAGAGCCTGGGGGTGTCTGGGGGGGCTTGTGGAGAAGAGGTGCTGGGGGAGCTGCCTCAGCCCCTCCCCCATGTCCCCTGGCAGGTCTACCATGCTCAGCAGGCCGGGTTCCTGGCCGTCATTGTCCACAACGTCGGCTCGGATGATCTGCTCAACATGGTCTGGGAGGACGGTGAGTGGAGGCAGGAGGCTTCACTCGGGGCCTTCGGGGGTCCCTTCAGCTCCTTCCCCCCCTGACCGCCCCCCCTTCCTTCTCCAGACCAGCTGCGCAGGCGCATCACGGTTCCTTCCGTCTTCACGGGCGAAACGGCAGCCACCTACCTGCGAAGCCTCTTCACCTACGAGAAAGGGTAGGCCCCGCGGCACAGGTGGAGGCAGGGGGCCCTGGGGAGGACTGGGGGCCCCAGAATGAACGGGCTCCCCACAACTGGCCTGATTCTGGCCTCCCAGCCCGTGTGGAAGGTCCAGGGCTTGGCGTGGGCTTCCGACACTGGAAGAACAGGCAAAGAATAAAGGCGCTCTCAGGTGGATTCAGCCACGGTGGCTGCAACATAAAAAAACTTAGAAAATTATGCAGATGCGAAGGGGTGTGTGGTTTCCTGCAGCTTGGGGTCTTCTGGCTGGGGTGGGTGGGGGTGTAATTTGTGAAAGGAGCCGTTTCAGTTCCTGCCACTCTGAATGTCGGCATGTCTGTGATGCAGCCGGGACCATTTTTCCGAGGCTGGATCTGCTTGGGAATCTTTCCAGGAGGAGGGGGGAGGGGATCTCTGTCCTCTGCTCCCCCGGGGGCCTAATGCTTCTCCCCCCTTCCTCTGCAGGGGCCACGTTGTCCTGATCCCCGAGTACATCTTCCCGCTTGGCTACTACCTCATCCCCTTCACAGGCGTGGTGGGCGTGGTGATTGCCGTGATGTGCGCCATCCTGGTGAGGGATCACGGGGTTCCGGCAGGGAGGGGGCCCCGGGGGGGGGGGAAGCTCAGTTTCTGGCTCTTGATTTTGCACCCAATAAAACTCGGGGTGGCCAGTGCGGGCAGGGGGGCGCCCCGTGCAGCTCACCTGGGTCAGGTGGTGGCAGGGGACTCCGTGGGATGGTGCTTGGAGGAAGCGCTGAGCTGGTCCTGTCGGCCCCTCGTTCCCAGAGACAGTTCGCTTCTGCTCTGCTTTCCCCGTTTTTTGAGAATAGCCCGGTTAGCGTTTGTGCGCGTGTGCGTGTTCAACCCCCCCCCCCAGTAAGATTTGAATCTGGGAAATCTGCTCCTGTGTGGCAGATTGTTCGGTGTATGCAACATCGGAAGAGGATGCGGAAGGATCGGCTCTCCAAGGAGCAGCTGAAAAAGATCCCTGTGCACAAGTACAAGAAAGGTGAGGGAGGGGCTGGGGGGGAAACTGGGGACCTGCCTTCCTCCACTCACCTTGGGCACCCAAAATAACCTCTGGGGGGGGGGCTGAGGAGAAGTTGGCTGACCCAGCCACCTGGCTCCCCTCATTCCTTTCTGGCCATACGCTGCAGCAGCAGCCCCCCCCCCCTTCTGACTGCAGCAATGCTTCCCCGCCCCCTCCCCTCCCCTGCATTTTCTTCCTTCCTTTTTCAACCCTGGGGGAGCAGCTGGCATGTTCCAGGCTGAGGTGGTGCAGAGACAGGCCTGTCCCATTCCGGGTGGGGGGGAGGGCTGGGAGCCAGGATAGTCCCCTCCTCAAGCTGACCACTTTTGTGTGCCAGCCTCTTAGCTTGGGCCCACAAATCGTTGGTATGGCTGCGGGGGGGGGCGCGGGGGAGGTGAGTGGGCTTTGAGCTAGCATCAGCCTGCCTGGAGGGGCTTCTTTGCCCCCAGCGCTCAGCTCCCTCCTGCTCCAGACGGACAGAAGCCGCTCCCTTCTCTGCTCCGCTTGATTCGGGGCGCCAATAACGCCCGTTCCCCAGCCGTGGAAACCCCTCCGGGACCCGGGCCAGGGGGAGCCGCGGGGCCACGTGCTCCAGGCGGGTTTACGGATGCCCGCTCGGAGGCAGAGACCATCACCCCCCCCCCCCAGCGCCAGGCATTTCCTGCCGGCCTTGCAGCAGCAGCAGCGCCGGGGGCCGCCTTGGCCGGGAGGGAGGGGCGGGGGGCTCCGGGCTGCTGCTCCAGGCCGGCCTCCTCCGTTCCCCCCCCCGCTCTTGTTCCCTCCCGCGCACCGTCGTCCCGGGAGGCCCCGCCCGATCTCGGCCCGGTCAGGCGAGGCAGCGGGAGGGCTGCGGCCGCCGCCCCTCGGCCCTCCGCGGGAGAAGTGGGGCCGACGGGGCGGGGCGGCTCCGGGGCCGCGCTGTGCCTTTCCGGGCGGGGGCCGCGGCGTCGGACGGCAGGAAGGAAGCGGCGGCCGCCCAGCGCAGCGCAGCTCTTGCCTTATAAGGCCGGGCGCGCGGCTCTTTGGCAGCTCCGCCGAGGCGCCCTCCGACCACTTCCCTTCGCGGGCGCAGCGAGCCGCCCAGCTCGGCTTCCTGTTTTCGTAGCCCGCAGATTCGCGCGCCCACGTGCGTGGAAAGGCGGCAGGCGGAGACCGCGGTGCTTCCCCTCCCCCGCCCGCCCTGCCTCGTTTGGGGGAGCAGCCGCCCGGGACCCCCCACGCTCTCCTGGGAGGGAGGGAGGGAGCCGGCCCACTTGCGCCAGTCTCCGGCCACCGAGGGGCGCACGCGAGCGCTGTGGGCACATGAGATGGCCGTGGGGGGCTGATGCACCCCGTCTTCTCCTCCCAGGAGACGAGTATGACGTCTGTGCCATCTGCCTGGAAGAGTATGAAGATGGGGACCGGCTGCGAATCCTGCCGTGCTCCCACGGTGAGCTGCGGCCGAGGGCTGGCCTTGGTCTGCGCGAGGGGGTGGCTCTGGGTTCAGCCCGGCCAGAGGTTGCTGGGCATCGGCTTTCCTCGGGCGAACAGCTGGCTGACGACCCATGAGCCGGCCTGGTTGGGCGACGTAGGGAAGGAAGGGGGTGAGCCTGGACCCCTTTCTTCCCCTTCAGCCTATCACTGCAAGTGCGTGGACCCGTGGCTGACCCAGACCAAGAAGACCTGCCCGGTTTGCAAGCAGCGGGTGATCCGCTCCCCGGAGGACTCGGACTCGGAAGGGGAGGAGGGCACCGACCCTACCGTGCCCGGCCAGAGCGAGGGGGTGGCAGTGGACTTGGGGCAGGAGGAGGATTCGGAGCGCACCCCCTTGTTGCGCCCCTCGCCCAGCACAGCTGTGGCCCCCCCTTGCTTTGGCAGCATGGCCCGGTCGGTCCCCTCGAGCCCCCAGGAGCTTCTGGCAGAGGGTGGGGAGGAGCCGCCCCCCAGCCCTCCCTCACAGAGCCAGCTGCTGGTCTAGCCCACCGCCCAGGCTCGGGTGGCTGGCAAACCCCCTCCTCTCAGCACAGGTGGGAAAGGCTGCAGAAGAGTCCTTTTGCACCCGGTCCGGCTTCCAGGCTTTGTAACTGCAGGGCTGGTGCAAGGCCCTAGTTCTTGCACACTCCCCCCTTGGCGTGTGGAGTAGAAGATGGGGATCTTCATGGTGCAAGAGAAGCAGCAGGTCCTCCCTTCCAGCCCCCCCGCCAGCCTGGCAGGATGCTTGGCAAGGTGGAGCAGCGTCCTGGGTGCCAGACGCCCTTCTTTGGGCTGTTCCCCGGCCCTTCCGCAGACACAGTCCAGGCCTTCTCCTGCACTTCTCTGTGCACTGCCAAGCGGGAGAGCCTGGAGCAGATTCCTAACAGCCTGGGGGATGATGGGTAGGGGGCCCTGAACCGTTGCTGAGCAGGCTTGTCTTCCTCTATGCTTCCTTGGCTGGACCAGTTATGTGCCAACCGAGCCCTTTCCCCCCAGGGGGCAGCCCTTCAGAAAAGGGGGCGAGAATCTCCCCCCCCCACACACACCAAGTCTCCCTATCACGCTGCTGGCTCTTCTGCCAAACACCTGAGGGATTTTTACTTTTAGTGACTTTCAGCTGATTGGGCAGATTCTGCCAAAGGACGGTGGGGGAGGGGCACAGCAAGGGCAAAGGGAAGGAGCAGGCAGCCCTCCACTCAATAAAAATACAATTTACATTCAGTTGCATCCTTTTTTCTTTTTAGCAAAAAGTGAACCAAAGATGAAACTGGTCTGAGCGAACTTGGAGAGAAAGCCCTCCAGGTATGTGTGGGGGGGGGGAGCAGAAGTGAACATGGGAGGAAAGGCGAGGCCTGTGGCCACACACCTGGCCAGGCTGCTTATTTGGGAGAAGCATGGCTGCTGGACTGCTGTGAGGTCAACAGCAGAGAGAAGCCCCCCCCCCTTGCCAGGAAGGCCACCCCAGCAGCTCCTGGTGCCAGGGAGCTGAGCACCTCTGGCTCCTGGCTGGGGCCAGCCCTACTTTGAACAGGCCACAGAGGGTGACCTGTTCGGCAGGCCGAGGCTGGAGGGCAGCTCCCCCATTGTCTGCACGAACAAGCAGGCTTCTGTCCCAGCCCGGTTGCCTCTCCATTGTTTTCCCCACAGAAAGCAGGCCTGCTCTCTGGGCCTTGGGGGGTGGGCAGGTCTGAGGGGACGGAGATGGGGGGGGGCACGCTCGCCGCTTTCAGAGAAACTCCAGGTTAGAATTCAAATCGTTTTATTTTTTCTTGTTCCAATATAGTTTTCTTCGTCAAAAAAGCTACACCTTGTAACAACCAGAAAATTTGGCAGCAATAAGGATTTGTGGTAGAAAAAAATGGCAAAAAAGAAATCGAGGGCAGAAGGGGGGGTTCGGGGCAGAGTGGGGACATTAGAAAAAAACAGGAGAAGCGGAGGAAGGAGAGGCCGTGAGCAGGAAAAGTTGGAATAAGCGGCGATCGTGTGCCGGGGTTGGTCCCGCAGTGGCCAGGCCGGGCGCCCCGGGCGGTCGCTGCCATCTTGGACATCCTCACACCGTTCCATCAGTAGTACCACAGATGGGACCAGCAGGCGGGTCAATATTGCGACCGTCGCAAGTGGTTGGCCATCTCGTAACATTTCTTGTTGATGCAGCCGCCGTGGATGCCCTCCTTGCCCATGACGAGCACGATTGCTGCGGGGGGGGGGGAGGGAGAGAGAAGCAGTCAGAGGCAAAGCCAGGCAAGTGGGGGCAAGAGCTTCCTCCCCTTTGCCAAATATGGGATGGGGGGGGGGTTTCAGCGATTGTGGTGGGGGTTAAAGAAATGGGGCGGACGATTAGAAGAAGTCATTTCGTTTAGAGACCTAGACAGATCCAGGCTGTTGGGGGGCAGCTATGGGTCTGGAATGGGGCACTGGTTTAACTAGTTGAAGGCAGTTGAAGAGGGGTGGGCCAAGGGGGTCTGGCCAGCTACAGTGCAAGGGAACATTCTGGGTCAGGATGGCCCATGCTGCTCTGTCCCCCTCCCCCAAGGGCTGGTCTTGAGCCAGATTATGCCCCTTCTGGGGCTGAACAAGGGCTGCCTTATCTGCGGTGGGGGGGCTGGCTGAAGCCACAGCTGTCCACTCCCCTACCCCCCCCAAGTGGCCCAGGAGCCCCTCACAGCTGCCGGGCAGGGAAGGAATGCGGCCCCTCCCAGCGGGGAAAGTTGGGCAGCTGCGAGCGACCTGCCCCTCCCCCTCTCTGACTCACTCTTGTTGGTCATGGCGGCGGTGATGTTGTAGGTGGGGGCCCCGCCGGTGCTCTTTGTCCGCAGGTCCATGGTGCTCTCCCCGTCCATGTGCAGGCTGTCCCGGATGACGGAGCACTTCTGCCCACCCAGCGTCAGCCCGTTCACGAAGAGGTTGCTGCGGTCCTTCCCCACCAGCACGTTCACTTCCGCGGGCTGCAGGAGGGAACCGGGCGGGGCTCAGTCGCCGAGGCTCCGGCCTCCGCCCCGGGCCCCCTGCAATCCGGGGGGCTTAGGGGAGCCCGAGACCCCCAGAGCCTCCAGCCCAGCCGGCCTCCGCCCAAGGCGGCTTGACTTCCTCAGCCAGGCCCTCCCCCGGCCGGAAAGCAGAAGCAGCCCAGACTGGGCGGCGGGCGACGTTTCGGGCCCCAGGAAAGAGCTCCGAAGGCCCGGGAAGCCCCCGGCTCCCCCTAGGGGGGCAGTCCCCCCAGCAGCCCCGGTCCCAGACGGATCGCGGCACCCCCTCCGCCCGGAAGGAGGACCCCCCCCGTCGGAAGCAGCGGCTTCCTGCCTTGCGCTGCCCCAGACTCGCGCCCGACACAAAGCGCCCCTCCGGGCTGCCGAGACAGGAGGCCCGACGGCTGGCAGGCGGACGGCCATTCGGCTTCCCCTCAAGCGGGAAGTGCAAGGCAAAGGGCCGCGCGGAACAGGCCCTCCGGCCCCGAGCGAGTCCGGCTTTGGGCCGGGGTGAGCTCGGCGGGCCTGCTGGGCCTCATCCGGAGAGAGCAAAGGGGGGCGGAGGGGGCGGAAACCCCCCACGTGGAGGGACTTCCCGGAGACGAGGGCCGCTTCCCCTCCCCCCCGCAGCCCTGGGGCAGCCAGGCCGTCCAGCTGTCCGGCCCGGGACCCCCGCCAGGCCCCTCTCCGCGCGGTTGCAAGGCCGGACTCGGGCTGAACCCTCCCCGCTGCCCCCCCCCCCAGGCGGCTCATAGCTCCAGAGTCGCCCGAGAAGCGGAGAACGCGGCGCTTCCGGCCTCCCCTCCCCCTGCGCGCCCTTCCGCTAGGCCGGGTGGAGGAACCTCCCGGCCGCCCTTTCCTCGGCTGGCGCCGCCCGGGGGGAGAGGGCCGCGGGGATCCCCGGCTTCTCCGCCGCCCCGCCGCGCGGAGACCGGAGGCAGGCGCCCCTCGAGGGCCGAGCCGCGGCCTGGGGACGTGGCACCGGGGCGGAGGGAGGGCAGGGCGGGGGCCGGCCGCGAGGAGCCGGCCTCGAGGGCGGCGCGGCCTGGGGCTTTGATTCGCCCCGCCGCCCCGTCCCGGGAAGCGCCCTCCGGGCCCCGCAGGGGAAGCAGCGGAAGCGGCGAGGGGCGCCACATGCCCGCGGGGGGCGGGGCGGAGAGGGGCGCGGCAGGGAAGTCTGCTCACGGGGCGCCTCCCGCCCTCCCCGCGGCCCCCGCCCCGCTCGAACCGCTTCCTCTGGCGCGAAGGCCCGGCCGCCTCCCGCCGCGCAGAGCCGGGCCGGGCCGGGCCGGGCCGGCGCTTCCCGGCAGAGGCGCGGGCGGCGCCGGGCACAAAGGCGGCCCGGCGGAGGCAGCGGAAGAGGAAGCGGACGCCCGCCGGGCCGCTCACCGTGATGCTGGCGAAGGTCTTGCCCGGGGCGGCGGCCCAGACGGAGGGCGCGTCCTTGTAGCCCACGATGGCCGCGTCCTGGCAGGTGTTGTCCGCCATCAGGCTGTCGATGTAGCAGCTCCAGCCGCTCATGGCCGCAGCGACGCGCACACGGCTCGGGCGCCGGAGGAGCGGGGCGAGGCGGCGGAGGCGGGCGCGGGGCCGGGCGGCGGAGGCAGCGGAGGAGGCGCGGGGCCGGCGGGGGTCGCCGCGGGGCTTTCCTGGCGTGCCGAGCGAGGCGTCGGGGAGCAGCTCGGGAGCGGACTGCGCCGAGGACTGGAGGAGGCGAGCGCCCGACCAGGAGGACGAGGAAGGGAGGAGGAAACGGAGGGGAGGGCGGGGCCGCGCAGGCGCTCCTCCCCTTCATTCCTGGCGCTCCCCGGCGCGGGCGAGCGCGGCAACGGGGGGGAGGGGAGAGGGAGGGGGAGAGGGAGGGGGCGCCAGCGTCTCCGAGTACAATGGGGACCCGCAGCCCCCGACCCCCCCCCGCGAGCCCCGACCCCCCTTCACTCGTCCATGAGTCATAGCGGAGCCTTGCCCGGTTCCCCCTCCGGACTGGCGGCGGAGGGGCTAAAGGCCTCAGCTCCGGAAGAGGAGGGGGAGGGGGCCGGGGCGGTCTCGGGCCTGCGAAGGGGGCAGCAAGCCGTCCGGTTCTCCGCGGCCGTGGGCAGCGCGCTGGCCCACGCGTGTCTCCCCTCGCGCACGAGTCAGGGTGACGTCGGAACCGGTTCTCCCGCCCGCCCCATCTCGGTTGCCCGAATGGAAGCGGGGAGGGGGGGTTCCCGGCGTTGGAAAAGGCGCCCGGAGGCTGGAGGCGGCCCCGCCAAAGTTTCACCTTCTCTGTGGGGGGGGGCACCGCCAGAGCCTCCCGCCGGGGGGGGGACGTGTGGGGGGAGCCCCTGGGAGGGTGCAAGAAGCATCCTTTCTGGGGGTCCCTGGCCAGAAAGGCCCACGGCCGGTGTGATCCCTACCACCCACTTTCTCTGGGTCAGCCCCACTTGCGGCTGCCCCTTTCAGCTTTTTGGGGGGGAGCTGAGAAACACGGCTTGGTTGTTGGGGGGGGGGATTGTTTCAACCGGGGTTGTTTCCTCCTCCTCCTCCCAGGGGAACCCCTCCCCAGCCCGTGAGTGGAGGGCACTAGTTGGAGAAGGCTGCTCAGACCCTCAGCTGGGGCAGAAGAACCGCGACAGACAGCTGCTTTGCCACTGCCTGGCTGGTCCTGGCTGACTGGCGAAGGTCCTCCCCACACAATTCGGGGGGCACTTTGCTGCCAGCCTGGAGGCTTTCTTGGAGCCCTGAGTTCATCTGGGTGGCATGTCAAAGGTTGCCTGCAGCCCCTCCGGTCCGCTCTGCTAATCTGGGTGAAGCTTCTGCAGGACCAGAATCCCCGGGTTAGGCCCTCCCGGGACCCAGGCGCCCCACTGCATTATCAGAGGTGTTGAGCCCAGCAACCCCCGTGCCCCCCTCGACTGCCTACCTATCTGAGAAAACCACCATCGGCCATTGGCCCTGCCAGGTCTGCTAGTGGCCTGGGTGGTCCTAACTCCGGCGTGTGCCCTGAGCTGGTTGTTGTTTTGCAGATGTTTGATGACCCAAACTAGGGAACATCCTCAGAGCTAGCATTAACATTCTTTATCACTGATGATGTTACCCTGCTGGGTCATAAAACGTCTGCGGGGGGGGGGGGGGAGACACAGCTCAAAGAGCAGCAAGGGGTTCAACTCTAAGCTACATACGGTCCCCTTTATTGACAGTCTTAACATTACAAGGTGTCCGAACTGGACTTGATCCTGGCTTTATTAAGAAATGGTGACTGAGCAAACTTGG